CAGTCAATACAACCAGTGAGAGACTGGAGTCGGTCTAGCTCTGGTACAAGGTGGTAGTGAGAGACTGGGGTCGGTCTAGCTGTGGTACAAGGTGGTAGTGAGAGGCTGGGGTCGGTCTAGTTGTGGTGCAAGGTAGTAGTGAGAGGCTGGGGTCGGTCTAGCTGTGGTACAAGGTGGTAGTGAGAGGCTGGGGTTGGTATACTTGTGGTACAAGGTGGTAGTGAGAGACTTGGGTTTCTTCAAATCTGGAGGAATTAAATACACCTACCTACCTACCTACCTACCTATCAGTTAACACAACCATCCACCCGTACATCACACCCTGTACCTACCAGATAATACAACCATCCACCCGTACATCACACCCTGTACCTATCGGTTAATGCATCCATCCACCCGTACATCACACCCTGTATCTATCAGTCAATACAACCACCCACCCGTACATCACACCCTGTACCTATCAGTTAATACAACCATCCACCCGTACATCACACCCTGTACCTATCGGTTAATGCATCCATCCACCCGTACATCACACCCTGTATCTATCAGTCAATACAACCACCCACCCGTACATCACACCCTGTACCTATCGGTTAATACAACCATCTACCCGTACATCACACCTGGTACATATCAGTTAATACAACCCCCACCCGTACATCACACCCTGTACCTGTCGGTTAATACAACCATCCACCCGTACATCACACCCTGTACCTATCGGTTAATGCATCCATCCACCCGTACATCACACCCTCTATCTATCAGTTAATACAACCATCAAGCCGTACATCACACCCTGTACCTACCAGTTAATACAACCATCAACTCGTACATCACATCCTGTACCTATCGGTTAATGCATGCATCCACCCGTACATCACACCTTGTACATTTCAGTTAATACAACCATCCACCCGTACATCACACCCTGTACTGATCAGTCAATACAACCATCCACCCGTACATCACACCCTGTACCTATCAGTTAATACAACCATCCACCCGAGATCACACCCTGTACATATCAGTTAATACAACCATTCAGCCGTGCATGCAATACACCTATAGTGTCTATAAGATGCGAACACTTTGTGAACATGAGAGCATTCGAAGTATACAATCAGTATTAATAATATTCTGTTCTTCTTCATTAGTCCAACCACAAGCCAGCACACAACGTCTCCTCCCTATCACATCACTGACCGTGGTTCCATCAACCATCAACCATCAACCATATCTCACCCTTAAATACATCCATTATCTCCACTCCCAATCCGAATACACCATCCCGTAACAATCACTTGAGGCAACTTTTGATAAACTGTTTTGTACTATTATGTTGCAACGTTTACCGTCTTGTATAAACCAAACACCCGAATATTCACCGTCCTTGTATATACCAAACACCGGAATATTTACCGCCCTTGTATATACCAAACACCCGAATATTCACCGCCCTTGTATAAACCAAACACCAGAATATTTACCGCCCTTGTATAAACCAAACACCAGAATATTCACCGTCCTTGTATATACCAAACACCAGAATATTTACCGCCCTTGTATATACCAAACTCCCAAATATTCACCGCCCTTGTATAAACCAAACACCAGAATATTTACCGCCCTTGTATAAACCAAACACCCGAATATTCACCGCCCTTGTATAAACCAAACACCAGAATATTTACTTGTATATACCAAACACCAGAATATTCACCTTGTCATCGTATCTACCAAACACCCAAATATTCACCGCCCTCGTATATAAACCAAACACCAGAATAAACACCCAAATATTCACCGTCCTTGTATATACCAAACACCCAAATATTCACCAAACACCCTTTCACCGTATATACCAAACAAACACCCTGAATATTCACCGTCCTCGTATACACCGTCCTCGTAAACGAAACACCCAAATATTCACCGTCCTTGTATATACCAAACACCCAAATATTCACCGTCCTTGTATATACCAAACACCCAAATATTCACCGCCCTTGTATATACCAAACATCCGAATATTAACCGTCCTCGTATATACCAAACATCCGAATATTCACCGTCCTCGTATATACCAAGCATCCGAATATTCACCGTCCTCCTATACACCAAACACCAGAATATTCACCGTTCTCGTACATACCAAACATCCGAATATTCACCGTCCTCGTATACACGAAACACCCGAATATTCACCGTCCTTGTATATACCAAACACCCGAATATTCACCGTCCTTGTATCTACCAAACACCCAAATATTCACCGTCCTTTTATATACCAAACACCCAAATATTCACCGTCCTTGTATATACCAAACTCCCAAATATTCACAGTCCTCGTATATACCAAACATCCGAATATTCACAGTCCTCGTATATACCAAACATCCAAATATTAACCGTCCTCGTATATACCAAACATCCGAATATTCACCGTCCTCGTATACACGAAACACCCAAATATTCACCCTCCTTGTATATACGAAACACCCAAATATTCACCCTCCTCGTATATACGAAACACCCAAATATTCACCGCTCTTGTATATATCAAACACCCAAATATTCACCGTCCTTGTATATACCAAACACCAGAATATTCACCGTCCTTGTATATACCAAACACCCGAATATTCACCGTCCTCGTATATACCAAACACCCGAATATTCACCCTCCTTGTATATACCAAACACCCAAATATTCACCGTCCTTGTATATACCAAACACCCAAATATTCACCGCCCTGTTGTATATACCAAACACCCGAATATTCACCGCCCTCGTATATACCAAACACCCGAATATTCACCGTCCTTGTATATACAAAACACCCGAATATTTACCGCCCTTGTATATACCAAACACCCGAATATTCACCGTCCTTGTATATACCAAACACCCAAATATTCACCGTCCTTGTATATACCAAACACCCAAATATTCACCGTCCTTGTATATACCATACTCTCAAATATTCACCGCCCTCGTATATACCAAACTCCCGAATATTCACCGTCCTTGTATATACAAAACACCCAAATATTCACCGTCCTTGTATATACCAAACACCCAAATATTCACCGCCCTTGTATATACCAAACACCCGAATATTCACCGTCCTCGTATATACCAAACACCCGAATATTCACAGTCCTCGTATATACCAAACACCCGAATATTCACCGTCCTTGTATATACCAAACACCCTAATATTCACCGCCCTTGTATATACAAAACTGTTTTCGAATGGTCTGATTAATTTCTTCACCCCTTTGCCCATGTGTATTTTCACGCACTTGATAAAACGTGTTCGATAAAATCGCTAAGACTTAACATAAAACGTTGTCAGCCTGACCATGTGAGATGTGTCCCGCCCTTTAAATACAAGCGTGTTCAGGTTACATGTATTCGCGTTACCTTGCAGACTTGTAGCATCAAAACAGGGTATAAAACTAGATGTGCGGAATAAGCCGGAATAGTTAATGGAAACAGTTTTCTGATTTCTTTTAAAGTGATTTACTGCTTTGATCGCAAAATGATTTTTGAAATGTTTGAATGTTTTGTTGCAAGAACATCCATACTTCCGAGGTCATATGACATCTTTGACTCCAAGCCTGTTCAGTTTACAAAGACAGGAGAGCATAGTGCACGGAGCATCCACCTTTGAGCTGCCGCATCACCTCTGTTCGTGCACAGCCATTTCATCTCCACTTCATATGGTTTTATAGGCGGGTGGACGTTTCCTTTACAAGGGTAAAACCCCCTAAAATCAGGACGCCCAAGGCAGCTATACAAGCTTACACAACACCAAAAAGCGTTCCTAATTCGCTTTCAATGCCGAGACTACTTTTACATTTAACCTGCAAAGGGGTTTATGTAAATGAGCGGTTATATCCTCTCTTTGACACTATTTGGAGGAGTCCGATGCGTTGCAAGCCAGCATATTTCAACAGAAGGCAGCAATGAAATGTGAGCACTCCCCTCCTACTCCCCTCCCCCTCGCGGTCCACCCGTGTGGCCTTTGTATGACCACCTTGACCCGACGTTTTTTTTATTTCAATTGAAACGTCTCTCGTGGCGTTTAAGTACATACATTGGCAGGCATTCAAAGGGAAGAGAACTTACTCCTTTGACTCTACAAAGCAAAGAGAGCAAGCCTCTACACTTGATATGATTTAATGCTTCTGGATGCGCCCCCATATTTCCCTCACGCTATGAAGAAGTCGTTTGCTTCTGTTTTACTATATGTTATAACATGGCGAAGACCACGTGTTGATATTTGGTCTTACAAATTGATGTGTGGATTTGAAAAGGTGAAATGTGATGTAAACGAAACTGACAGGTTTATATGTTTGCAGCATAATAGATGTTGCATGCTAACGATCCCAAACTGCGCGTGTAGGCGGTCAGTGTAGGCGGTCAGTATTCACAAAGCCTGTACTTCACAGTTCCAGTTTTCTGGGAAACTGACTGTCTGTCATTGTCTGAAGCAGAGAACTGTCTGTTATTGACTGTCTGAAGCAGAGAACTGTCTGTTATTGACTGTCTGAAGCAGAGAACTGTCTGTTATTGACTGTCTGAAGCAGAGAACTGTCTGTTATTGACTGTCTGAAGCAGCACCAGGTCCACCACATCTGTGTCTCGAGGAGACAACAACACGAAACAATAACCTTCATGCATGTCAACCATGCAGTCTTCTGGGATCTCAACGTGACGTACGACAAGTGTGTATGTCTAAAACAGATGGATTAAGTGTGTTTGGTTTTCTCCAGTTTCAGTCCCCCATCCCGTAGTGCTCAAGGTCAGACCATTACACACTTCAACCGTGAGTGAGTGAGTGAGTGAGTGAGTTAGTGTTTTATTTACCACCGTTTTGAACAGTATTCCAGTTATATTGGTGAGCGCGTCAGCTGGAAGCGGAGTGCAGCGCGGTGTAACCAGTGTAATATCTGGCGTTATAGATGAAAACAAAGAAGATAAATTATGTAATAAAATGATTTATTTACAATTCAAAAATGAACATAACAATGGACTGGCGAATGTCCTGAAGACACTCGCAATATGAATGATTAAATACTATCATGGTCTTCTGACGAACGATAACTGGCTTTTCATAAAACAGTACAAAAATAGAAATAAATCATGTCCAACTTTTTGTTGGCGCCATAACCAAACTTATGATATTGCACTTTGTGGGTTTGTTTAAATGCTGGAACATACGGAGAGTATTTGTTTGTTCAGCATTAAATACATGATTTACTTGGGATAGCTATTAGACAACCAAAATCGCCCGAGGCTCAATAAAACGCCACAAGTGGCTGTTCAAGTGCAACGATTATAAATTCCGGATTTCTCAAGTAGCCGTTCAAATCTTCAAAAGATTCTAAAACGAACTGAGAACGGCAATCTCGTTTTCAGAGCAGTAAATTTGGAAAAAGTTAGACGTAAATTTTAGGGGTCAAATTACTGAATCATATTTGAGATTCTGACTTTGAACTGGAATATATTATTTCTAGACGTTAGTGTTCAACGTAAACAACGTTTGTTCCATGTTGAAATGTTTACTTAAGAACGATTTTAAGAACGTTACCACTTTTAACGTGACAGCGTTTGTGTAACAGTAGTACCAAATAATCTCAACAAACCGATCTGGAAAGATGGTATGGCGAACAACAGTGCACACGTGACAGGCAGAACGTCAATCAAACAGTAACAGCCAATCAAATGGAAGATCGCTGCGTGGAAGACCGCGTGTTTTTTTCAGATGCAAAATGTCACAAATAGAATGAAATATAAACCATGAGGGGTCACTCACAGTTATAACAGCACTGACCTTGAATTGAAATTTACAAAGATAATGTTAATTGCACTTGCCGCTCCTCCAACGAGGAATGAATGTCTATTCTGAATCTGTTTCCCCTTCTTTGGAACTAGAAGCAGACACACTAGGGATTTGAAAGTTCTCCATGTCGCTGATATCAAACTCCTTCTCCAGCTTAATGTCTTTAGGATCCTTGCCATCCATGATCTCCTTCATGAACCCGATGTATGTGATGGCTAGCCGCAGAGTCTCGATCCTGGACAGGCGTTTCTCGTAGTTAAATGCTGGCAGACGCAGCCTTAGACTGTCAAATGCTTCATTTAGATGGAACATCCTCTTTCTCTCTCGGACATTGGCGGCTTTGCGTTGAGGCATCGTTTGAATCCTTTTCCGTTTTGGTTTACCATTCGGCCCCAACCCTGTTGGAGACGTCTGACTTGGGGTTCTGCAAAAACTCATGGACGGTAAAACAGACGTGACCGGTGTCATCTGTGACGGCACAGAAACGTCTTGTTGCTGTTGGTGGTGCCACACTGCGTTTGGTTGATAGACATCTGTGGCAGCACTGGGCGTGAACCCTGCGTACAGATTATGCATAGCAATGTCATTTCTCTCGTGGACTGGATAGAATATTCTGTTTTGGTCCGAATTTTGGTAGCAGTCGAACTCGTTGTAGAAGCTGCTGTTGTGAGACGTGTCGCTGGAGTAGGTTGACGTTGTTGAGTACGGTGACAGATCCGTCGTTGTGTAGGGGATGTCGGTGTACACTGTCTCATCCCCCATTAGGCGACGTTCTGTCTCCATCATCGTGATATACGGGATTCGAGCCGCACTCGATCACTCACAAACACTCTTAGTGTTTAACAGTAAAGTTCATATGTAAGACTGGCAGCAACAGATGACGCGCTGTCACAGCAGAACTCAACAGGTAGCGGGACTGAGGAAAACACTGAGAGTGGAGCTAGTGTGTTACCTGTAGCTGCACAAGGTGTGTGATTCCTACAGTACAAGGCTCATATTTATACCCTGTTAAGCCACAGGTAGCAAGTTTAACAAAAGTAATCGCATTGAAATTTAAATGCAACAGGCACGCGACACTTGATTGGCTGCTGGCCAGGTAGGACCTCAGGAAGCAAGTCGTCCACGTGTGAGAGGCGGGGCTTAGCCCATCCACGTGATATCACCTGTCAATCATTTGCCTGGCACGAGCCAGCGCGACCCAAGCACGAGGGGGTTTTTACCCTTGGGCGATTTTGTTTCGGCTTGCGTAGTGGATTTGTCGGCGAGTATTGGGGTAACGTGTCTCGCTCGAGTAACTCGACAGCATGGATGCCTTGCCTCGACAATTGTAAACGGGTTGGGGAAACTTGTTGCTGGAATCAAGATCGCGGTGTGATTGAAATGAAGTTTTCGTTTTCAGATCGTATAGCAACAATTTATCAGGGTTGGATTAAACGTGAAGACTGGTTTACAGACACGCACACCCCTGAAGGCGACTGTCAGCGCGCACAGGGAACATATAGAAAATAAATATTGTACCAGGTTCAATTCTTTATTTCGATCTAAGTGGAGTACTTTGACCCGAAATTGCCAACTGTTGTGTTTTCAACCCTTTCACCCGGACTACATTACCCGAATAAAGTCATTTGGCCGTAGTTTTATACACTAGGAGGATCATTTTCCACAACAAAATCTAGTTCGGTAGCGGTGGGATAACTATATTTCTTGACGGCCCACACACCAAATTAACATTTATCCTTGGAGATATGACTGTAGGGATATCTGTGTTATAGGTCTGTAGTTTTCTTTAAGAAAGAGTATGTGTTCTGATGGCGTCATATTATTGTTTGAAGCACAGCCGTGTCAAAAGACATAAAATAAAACCTCGGAATAACCACACCAGTGATCATTGACTGGCACAAGTACACGACACACGAGAGAGATCGTGACTCTATCCCACTCCCATTAAATGAAAGAAAGAAAGTTGCGATAGAAAAAAATATTGATAATTTTAAAGGCTTCTGAGAATTATCCGACAGTCAGGTGAATGAATGAAACAATGTGATACATGGTTGGATAAATGACAGGTGAACAAATGGAAGGAAAGAGAACGACAGGGGGCTGATTTTTTATATCTAGTTTTCGCAAATATCCGTGGACAGAAAGAAGGAATGAATATGGATTTGTGAGAAATGAGTGAATGTAGAAATCCGTCCACTACAATTGACCAGATTGACGGAAGGAAACTGAAAGCATGAATGAGCAATGAATAGACGAATAGGCGAGCAGCCATCAACAGGTTAACGAGAAGTCGAGTGACACTATTCTTGTATCAAAACACAGGAAGGGTACAAATCTCAAAATCGCAAAAACTTTAATCCTAATGATTTAATCTGTGCCCATTGAGTGTTGCTGTTGTTGTTGCTGGGGACGGCAGTGTAGCTGCTGGGGAGGGCTGTGTAGCTGGAACGCCAGACGAAAGTACTGTCCGGTGCTAATCCCTTACCAATAGAGCAACGATTACGCACTTAGAGTAAAGGCATTATGCATACGTTGACATCAAGATTGGCAAATTACTGTGTCACATACGAAAATATTTGGCAGATATTGACCATATTATTCTCCGTTGGGTGATAATATTTAATTTTCGTCGATGTTGTTGTTATTTCCAGTCATCCAAAGCTGGTAGTTGTGGATTTCAGTTTGATCCAAGGTGTTAATGAATAAATTGAAAATGGACATTGATTTCTAGCGATACATCGAGTCTCCTTAACTCAGTGTTATAATAACACAGACGGGCTGTGGATTACACCACAACGAGTTCCACCTGTCTTCTTCATATCACGAATTTGAAAGTTTCTTTGCTATAACTTGTCATGTGATTCACGTCGCTGAGCGCCACCGATCATGTACGTCGATAGTGCCATCCGGTGGAACCCCCTTGTACATGTACATCTAAACAATTGAGATGCCGGACCTCACTGCCCATGAATGTCCTTTCTCCAGAGAGATTAGAAACATCAGTGAACATGCGCGTCATAGTCAATAAAAGTACGTCATTACTGATGAGTTCGAGAGCACTTTAACTCACAAATGTACAAGGAATTATATGCATATATATATTTCTAGGAAATTCCTCGATACACGAACATATATTCGTTTAGATACACACTTTTAAACAAGGCCGTATGCGATGGAGCAGGGATCAACATCCGCATTGCCTCACCTCGTCAGGCGCCAGGAAGGCCTGTTACCGCGAACCCGGATAAAAGTGGAGCCCGCTAGCACGTGATTAATTGATGGGCTATTTCGGGTCATCTTTAAAAAATAATGCTGCAAAGTTTCAGATTAGATTAAATTATTCTGAAATTGCCTACAGTTTCACGTTACTGCAGAACGAGTACATAGGGAGACACCAAGTTGTCCTATCGTTGTCTTATTTCCACCCAGTGCGAGGCCTGAGGACAGAACACGTACATCATGTGAATGTTTAAGTTACTTAACCTACAGGATGGAGACTGGGTACAGGCGGGCTGATGGAAATTGCGGGCAGTGTTCCGCTTGGACTAAACTGCTGATTAACCGTTCATGGATAGTAAATACATGTTTCACTACCCAGCTTAGACTCAGTACAGTATTCAGGATAGTCATGATACAACCCCACGGTGGATGACTAACAATGGTTAAATTCACAACTGCTTGTGCTCCATCCAGGGTCGTGCACGTGTGTCCAGTGATCACCCCTGTCCTGCAGTGGATAGAACATGTGTTCACATCGCCCCTGTTCTGGGGCGGTTCGATTCGTGGGCCGCGACACACCAAGATGCGTTACAAGACGGTGCTTGGTGTTACACTGCCTTGCTTCCGACGTTAAGTGGACAAAATAAAGACTTGATGTTACACTGCCTTGCTTCCGACGTTAAGTGGACAAAATAAAGACTTGATGTTACACTGCCTTGCTTCCGACGTTAAGTGGACAAAATAAAGACTTGATGTTACACAGCCTTGCTTCCGACGTTAAGTGGACAAAATAAAGACTTGATGTTACACTGCCTTGTTTCCGACGTTAAGTGGACAAAATAAAGACTTGATGTTACACTGCCTTGCTTCCGACGTTAAGTGGACAAAATAAAGACTTGATGTTACACTGCCTTGCTTTCCGACGTTAAGTGGACAAAATAAAGACTTGATGTTACACTGCCTTGTTTCCGACGTTAAGTGGACAAAATAAAGACTTGATGTTACACTGCCTTGTTTCCGACGTTAAGTGGACAAAATAAAGACTTGATGTTACACTGCCTTGTTTCCGACGTTAAGTGGACAAAATAAAGACTTGATGTTACACTGCCTTGTTTCCGACGTTAAGTGGACAAAATAAAGACTTGATGTTACACTGCCTTGTTTCCGACGTTAAGTGGACAAAATAAAGACTTGATGTTACACTGCCTTGTTTCCGACGTTAAGTGGACAAAATAAAGACTTGATGTTACACTGCCTTGCTTCCGACGTTAAGTGGACAAAATAAAGACTTGATGTTACACTGCCTTGTTTCCGACGTTAAGTGGACAAAATAAAGACTTGATGTTACACTGCCTTGCTTCCGACGTTAAGTGGACAAAATAAAGACTCTTGTCATATGACTGAGCGGGGAATGCATGTTATACTATTGCCCCGGCGGCCTGGTACTATACAACCAGTGGATAACACAAACATACACAACATATATAACTAGTTGATAACACAAACATACACAACATATATAACTCGTGGATAACACAAACATACACAACATATATAACTAGTTGATAACACAAACATACACAACATATATAACTAGTTGATAACACAAACATACACAACATATATAACTAGTTGATAACACAAACATACACAGCACTTACAACCAGTGGATAACACAAACATACACAACATATATAACTAGTCGATAACACAAACATACACAACATATACAACCAGTGGATAACACAAACATACACAACATATATAACTAGTTGATAACACAAACATACACAACATATACAACCAGTGGATAACACAAACATACACAACATATATAACTAGTCGATAACACAAACATACACAACATATAACACACCAGTGGATAACACAAACATACACAACATATATAAACTAGTTGATAACACAAACATACACAACATATATAACTAGTCGATAACACAACATACACACAACATATATAACTAGTTGATAACAAAAACATACAACCAGTGGATAACACAAACATACACAACATATATAACTAGTCGATAACACAAACATACACAACATATATAACTAGTTGATAACACAAACATACACAACATATATAACTCGTCGATAACACAAACATACACAACATATACAACATATACACAACATATATAACTAGTTGATAACACAAACATACACAACATATATAACTAGTTGATAACACAAACATACACAACATATATAACTAGTTGATAACACAAACATACACAGCACATACAACCAGTGGATAACACAAACATACACAACATATATAACTAGTCGATAACACAAACATACACAACATATACAACCAGTGGATAACACAAACATACACAACATATATAACTAGTTGATAACACAAACATACACAACATATATAACTAGTTGATAACACAAACATACACAACATATATAACTAGTCGATAACACAACATACACAGCACATACAACCAGTGGATAACACAAACATACACAACATATATAACTAGTCGATAACACAAACATACACAACATATATAACTAGTTGATAACAAAAACATACACAACATATATAACTCGTGGATAACACAAACATACACAACATATATAACTAGTTGATTACAAAAACATACACAACATATATAACTAGTCGATAACACAAACATACACAACATATATAACTAGTCGATAACACAAACATACACAACATATATAACTAGTCGATAACACAAACATACACAACATATATAACTA